CCCCCCCCCCCCCCCCAAGGGAATTATTGTGCTCACCTCTTGTGGTCTCAAACTAATATTTTTATTTTTCTACTATCAACTTGGACATGTCTTGGAATGTTCACTAGTTTGTACACTTTTTTTGACTTAATATGAGTACAGGTATGCATCACAGTAAATGTGTACTGCAAATAATAAGAAACTGAAAATCTGAAAAAAGAATAGCAGCTACATGTAGTAAACATTGTACATTTATGTGACACTTGGCAACCAAAAATTGGGTGATCTTCATTACATCCCGCTATTGCAGACTCTCACCATTACAGACACTAAATGACAGTCCCGAGGTGTCCACTATATCAGGAGTTGACTGTAAACCATACAAGTAAATCAGTTGTACAGATCTATGTCAAATGGAGTTTTCTCTTTGTTACAGAAAGCCAAAGAATCTGGAACATCAGTGCAATTGCCTCTGGCCCAGCCACAAGATAAGCCTCCCCAACCCACCCAGTCCCAGAAATGGGAGCCATTAGGTGAACCTGCTGAGCCGACACCAGCTCCTCAGGGAGCCCCCAGTGATGATCTTTTGCAACTCCATGCAGCGTTTTCTGTTCCAGTCCAACAGTCAAGTTCTGCAGCTTTCTCACAAAGCCCTTCCTTCCCTCCAAGTCAGGCATTCCCAGCTGCACAGGGTTTTGGACAGGCCCCTCCCCAGGCTGGTCCCTGGGATGGCTCTGCTACTACAGGTTAGCCATGTTTGTGGAATACACTTTTTTCTTTTCTTTTTCTTTTTTATGAATATGTGTAGACATAGTATTTGCTAGGCATATGGTTGTTACATGTATCTGTTACACCTGTTATTGCTGAGTGTTCTTGATGGGGCCTTGATGTTTTAGGTGAACTTGCCTGTTGTTGATGCAATTCACCAATTACAGTTGACAGGCAACAGGTGACTCAAAACTTCATGATGGCCCTGTCCTACAATTCGCATCTGCATCTGCATCTGCATCCTTTGAATTTTATAAAACCATAGATATGTGTGTGGCTGGGTGGATGCTTATAGGTCACTATGCTCATCAGGGGGGACTTTGTATCTTGAAGCAAGCAGATTTGACTGTACTTTTGTTAGAAGAATGCTCAAGAACGAACCATTAATTCTTTGTCAGTTTCTACAGGTTTTAGCACCAGCAGCAGCTCTACAAACCCATTTGACAGCCAAGTACATGATGATTTTGCTGCTGTGTTTGGCAGTCAGCAGACTACTGTTGACAATACTCCAGCCATGGGAGACATGTTGGTTCCGACTGTGTCCAGCACAGGGGCTTCGAAAGCACCATCTGACAGCAGCATCAGTGGAGATCAACCAGGAGGTTTGCATGCAAGCCTAGAGAGAGTTGCAAAATCTTTAGGTGAGCAGGCTTCATGTGTATTGTAGGAGGCTTCACTTTTGCACTGTTTCAAACAGATTTTAATGAATCCGATAGTTCTCCATTGTTTCACAAATGTAAAGGTGTCACATAAGGTTTTAAAATCAAATGGCTTTCATTTGCATCTGATTCTCTCAAAGTAATATGGAGGTTTTTTATGTAAATTGTATAATATCACTGATCCATGTAGTCACCAATTTTGTTGTCATCAGATAGGTATCTGTATGCCCTTCCAAGCTGGCACTGCTATGTTAGGAAATGAATGATAAGGACATTTCCATGCATGTTGTATTAATTTTACATTTTCGTCCTGATTTGTAGACTCATTATCTTTTAATGGAAACATCATGGGTCCATCTGGCAAATCACAACACCAGTGGACTGCACCAGTACCACAGAGCAAGACAGGGGGACCAAACTGGCAGGCACCACCCACGTCAAGAACGTCGTTACCTCAAACGGGTTGGAGTGCGACAAGTCAGCCTCCCATGCAGCAGTCAACAGGGTTCAGACCGCCCTTTGCACAACCAACTCCAGTGGGACAGCCTTTCATGGTATGTAGCCAAGCAAGGTCAATAAGCCTGTTTTGGGCTGTTTTATTATAACCTCTGGTGTTTACTCTACCCCTGGAAGTATTTCTGATTTGAAGACAATTAATTGTACATCACAAAAAAGAGTCACACTTCATTAATGTACATGTGATATATTATTGTTACCTTTCCAACCTACTGTAGGGTTGGGTGTTCCAGTGTTGATCTACATGTATACATGTGCGTGCCTCATGTCTTGTTCTTGACTTCTCATATTGGGTCCTTAAGGAGACTCACTCTCTAGGCCAAATAGAACCTTGCCTATGCTTTTGACAAAGCACAATCATGTTTTTCAGCCTGGCCAACAAGGAATGTTCCCACAACAGGCTTCTGCATTTCCTTCTCAGCCGTTTCAACCGCAGAGACCTGCACACCCACCAGACCCATTTGGACCCATTCCTGGCAGTCAGGTAAACCTAGTTATGTGCAATCACCAGGAGTTGAATTTATATACATGATGTTATTGGGCCCATTGCTTACCATGTACGCAGTCTACCTAAAGACCTGGCCAACGATCATTTTCTGGCAATAACGTGTTCTAACAATGTTGTCAAATTTGTTATTTTTCAGGTTAGATTCTAAACCTAAAGCCTTGCATGATGGTGAAAGTGTAGGCTGGTCTGTAACAAATCTTGTATCTAAATTTGTGAGATTCCCAGTAGCTGAGCTATTTTCTAAGAAAAAAAAGTTTTGTAACTGAAGTTTGGACTTTCGTATTCATGCACTCAACCTTGTTCCCAGAGTCAGCCTTCGTGATGGCACAGGGTGAAAGAAAAGACCCTGGAAACTAGGTTGACAAGTTACCTGGCATTCCGTCTTCACTCCCAGGTAGTTTCTAGTAGCTCTTTTCACGGTTAAATTTTCTCATTTGCATTACAATATAATCTAGCATGTATATGAGGCAATTTCGTGCTATTTTGTATTTTCAGCCCGAAATTGCCTCGCATCCAAGTTGGATACATTCTAATGCAAATGAGAAAATCTAAACGTGAAAAAGGCTACTGGATCGTCGTGTTATGCTTCAGTAGAAGCGGGACATGATCGCTCAAATAACTGCTTTCAAAGGCACTGAGAAGCAGATGTTCGTATACACAGGCCAGTGAATGAAAAAGAAACCAACAGAGTTTTCCCTGGGTATACCCTATTAACCTGCATAGCCGGCGGAATTTTCGCGTGAGTGCATTGTCTTGACAGTAGAACCTCTAACAAGAACAATGAAGTTGCAAGGGAAAATTGGAATAGTCAATTTTCTCTTGCGATTCCGAAAGCAACTCCTCGCAGGAAATCCCGCAGGAAATCCCACCAGCTATACAGGCTAGTGTACAGTGGAGTTCAAGGATGTGTCATGGTAAAGCTTTGACTTATAATTAGTTTCTTGATTCTTTTGGTTGACTAGGGACAATTAGTACTTAGGTTTCTTATATTATTTGACCCTAAATCACAGGTCTTAATCAAGGACTAAGTAATAGCACTAATTCGAACAAATATTCGAGCAAAGGAGTGATAGGGGACTCACGTTAGGAAAGTGCACGTGGGTGGGTGGGTAGGGCTTCACTCCATCGACGATGTTTTGTATCAAAGGCTCCTCGGCTTGTTACCAGGTTACCTCGGCTCGTTACCAGGTTACCTCGGCTCGTTACCAGGTAGCGTCTAACGGTGACGTCCCTGAGCTACATTCGTAGCATGTTTTGAAAATGTGAAATTTGCGTCGGTCAAACAACGCGAAACATAACAAAGTGGGTGGTTATTTCGATGTGTTTGGGACCTTCTCTTCACTAAGATCGATTAATTAAATGCTATGGCTGAGTACAGCATCCTAACAGGGTAAAGTAGAACTACGTTAACCCACCGTATGCCACAGAATCCCACGTCTGTAAGACTCTGGCCCCATGCGACGTTTTCTAACTTGACTTCGCATTACTTTTACCTTGCCTTGCGCTCCCAGAACCCTTCCTCCACACCACAACCTCCTTCCTATTGGTGAAAATTGATCCGAGCCACGGCCTCCCTACCGTGAACTCTTAGTGGTCAACATATATTTGTCAGAAAGAAGCGATTATTTCATTATCAGAACGCATTGACGTATAATGCTCAAATAAGATGATATCTTTAGTCCGTTTCAGCCCTATGTAAGTTTTAAAGATTTTAATAGTTCGGCTCATTGCCATAGGAGACTTCTTAGTCAGCGTTTACAAGTCAAAACGTCTTTGTACGCCATTCTCAGCTCTTGTCGCATAAAACCATAAATGATTGGATTAACAGCGCTACTGCTCGCAAACATTATGATCTGCCAGAAGTACACTTGCCTTGGAAGGGAATATTGGCCATAGAAAGCTTCAAAAACATCCGTGATGATCGCCGGGGTCCAACAGACGAGGAACGCAACGAGAGTGACGAACAACATCTTCGTTATCTTTGCTTCATTGACGAAGGATCTTGAAGCTTGGCGAACATGACCGGAGATTGCGATTTCAGCAAAATGCGCTCTAACTTTCCGGTAGACTTGAACGTAGCAGATTATCATAACTGGAAAAACGACAGCACTAACCATGACATAGGCAGCTATGCTAAACCAACGCACGCCTTGACTATGAGTCATGTCCAGAAAGCAAAGAAATTTTCCGGGATGAAAGCGAAACACTTGACTTCCAAACGAAAACACGGCCCCCACTAACGTGAATGAAACCGTCCAGGCCAACAGGATTGACAGTGAAATGTTTCTTTTGCTGTAAATCCTGCGATAAAGTTTCCCAGCTTTAGTCATCTTGAAAAATCGGTTGACGGCGATGAGGGCCATGGTGAACAACGAGGCGTTGACAAGAATAAATATGAAGCTTCCCTGAACCTGACAGAAAGTATCACCAAAAATCCACTTGCCTTTAATAAGAGTTCCAACAAAGAATGGCATGCACAAGACTGCGAACAACATGTCGGTGACTGCAAGGCACATGATGTAGTAGTTTTGAGGCGCACGGAATCCTGGAGTCTTGTACAGAGAAAAGCACAGCAGGACATTTCCCAAGAAGGCGAATACACCAACGACGACGCAGACTGCTGTTTCGAAGACAACGACGTCGACTTCTCTGTTTTCTAGTGACATTTCAAGCTCGTTTTGTCTCTTCAGTGCCTCTTCCATTCAGTGGTGCACGAATATTACATCCGAGTTTTCAGCTGAAAGTCAAAACGATGACGGCAGAACTGACGCGGGGCAAAGAGCATAGACACTTCAGTAAGAGACTCAAACACATCAAAACTGAAAGGAAATTAGATACCGTTAGAAATAAAACCAAAATGATAACCGGATAAAATATTACGAAGTTAATTTGTATTCGGTAACCTTGTAAACAACCAGTTGATAACAATATTTACTTGATAGGGGAGATCGGCTTTGCTTCAAAGTTTTAGGTTTTCAGACACACTCTAGTGGGATTGTGGGATTGGAGTAACGGGAATAAAATTTCAGTTCTTTCCTTCAAAAAATGACACGACTTCCAAGACACCCTCAGAAACGTTCCAGCCTATGGGAAAGAAACTCAAATTTATAAATTCAATCGCTCGATCAGTCAGTATTTAAATTTATTATATGGCTGTGTCTCACAAGGACTGGGAACTACCGAATTCACGAATTTGATTGGCTGAAATCGATATTGACCGCGGTCTAGATTTTCCCA